TTCTAAACGGTTGTGCGATATATAACTTTGTTGTGTGCCGCACAATAAAAGATACTGCAATAAAATAAGAATCGAGATAAGATAAAAGAACACAGATGAGATGAAATAATGGAAAGTCACACTTTCGACAATCGGATTTGCTAAGAACGTTATATTCCTTTGAAAATTTTAACGACATGTTTTTGCGTACGGCTATTTTTATATCGTCATTACGGCAAGAGCTGAAAAATGGCGAACGTTTTGTCATTTTAAATAGATCTCAACGCGAAGACACGGTGTCCGGTAACGCGAAAGACTGATGAGAAGCCCCCGGTGCCGATTACTCGTTTCACTGCTAATCCGATTTCAGTTTACCTCCAGACCGAGAACTCCTTAACGCGCTACTCCGTTGGTTTCTCTCAATAATCTCGTTAGATCCATTAGACAGACTTCGGAATCTTCCACGTAGAAAACGTTCACCTGAACGAAGACGTGTAACCATGACAATTTTCATTTCATTTGTGTTGCACCAGAGAGACAATATAGATCGATGATTCGATCCCACTTGGGAGCGATCAGAAGTTCTTCTTCAAGGTTTGAAAAAAAACGAGATGTGCAGTCTCTCAGAAAAAAAATTCTAATAAAGCCATTCAAGATTCCCGTCGTTAAAAGAACCACAAGCACGACGAGCTGGTAGGTGCAACCCTTTTAAGTCAGTCGAGTCGAGGCATCCGACTTCTCCGCGACAACCGTGCGGCGGTGTGGGTGGACGGATAGGTGGAGTGCGCCTCGCGGGGGACAAAACTCACCCTAAGAAGCCTCTAAGAACGCCAAGGCGGCAGTGTCGCTGGTGGGGTATAAAAGTACCCGCATGCGCAAACTCCTGAAAAACTGCGGCCCGCCTCCGGCGCCGCCTCTATCGTCTCCGACACCCCGCCGGTCCCCCTCTAGCCCCCGGTCCACGAGGGCCCCGAGATCTCTCACCCCCGTCGCCCTCGCGCCCCTCGCAAGACGTCGTCCGGAACGACCGGCGGCCTTTTTCGAGAATTGCCCCCCGGGTAACATGTGCTAACCGTGTGTGATTACCTCCGCTCTACAACGCGGGCGCAAACCCGCGCTATCCGCGTCCCCCTCCGTTACGTCACCCCCCCGCTATCGCCGCTTTATCGCCCCGTCGTCGTCGATTCGCTTTTTTTTTTTTGTCGCGCCCGCGAAAATCAAAGTGCCGCGGCAGCGGGCAAGAGAGATTGCGACCGACGGTTATTTTGCCGAACCGGTAAACGAGTTAATATCGCGCGCCGCAAGTGGAGAACCGCCAGGAAATAATCCCCGCGCGGCCGAATTCACGACGTGGTTTTTCGCGTACCAGTAAACTTAGTTGAACGCCAGTGTTGTGTGAATAACCAGACATGTGTAACGAATAGCTAAAAAAGTAAAAAAAAAAAAAAAAAAAAAACAATAGATTTTGTGCGTGTGAGAAAAATAATTTTGACACTTGGAAAATTTTTTTATACCAATAACGTCACTTCGTCGCAATTTGTATTTCCGATCATTTTTAGTGATTTTTTCAACAATATATGTTAACAGTGATTTTGTAAAGAACATGCACAAAACGCAAGTTTTTTAAAACATTTAATCGTGCTTTTTTGAAAATAATACTATCTTTTTGGTGACTAACAATCATTCGTCGAAATTATCTCGCGGAAAATTTTGGTTAAACCGATTATTTATTTTGAATAACGTAGCTTTTTTTACTGATTCTATCTTTTTTTTGGCAGTGCATATGAGCTCCAATTATTCCTTCCCAGGCAACACGTTCGACAAATCCTGCAGATCTAATTGGTCGCCAGCAGATAATTGTTCGGCATCGATAATTGGTCCAATTAATTTGAACGGAAAAGTGCGTCGATAATCGTTGCACATTCATCGATTCACCGATTATGTGAACCGTGCCGGATGCGGGTTATAGAATATCGTTACTGTCGAAAGGACATCGCCGAAAAAAATAGCCGAAACGCAAACAGAAACCAATCGTTTTGGCTACGTTGCATGGTAGTGAAGTTATTGAGTTTTTATTTTGTTGCTGTTCACATCGCATGATTACAATGTTCGCCAACAAATATTGAAGGACTATTAGATTTAAACGCGCACATAAAATAAAATAAAGTTAATATTACAAATTTGTATAACAACAGAGAGATACACATAAACTTTATCATCGTAAAAAAATATAGAAGATGTAATAACAGCGTAAATTTTTTTTCCAGTTTTTGTTTTTACTGAACGAAAGGTGTTTTTTACAAGAAACTAAATATTTTGACATCTTCAAATATATAAAATTTATTTTATATATATATATATATAATATACACAATATTATACACAATATACGTACACAAATATTCTTCTATATATATATAACTTCTTCAAATATACACAAAGTTGAGATAAAACCTTACATACGCGATCTTTTAACACTATTTGTATTTGCCAGCAGCTAAAATTGCTTTTTAAATTATCTTGACGTGTCAATCGCGTTCGCCACAATCTCATCCTAATTCACTTTTTCTCTCTTTTATATGCAAGACAAAAATTCAAAAATCGTCACACAATCCGTAAACGGATTTTTTGACGCCTTCGAGGGGTAAAGCTATTTCTCGCCTTTAACATCTCTCTCTTGATTCGACATGTGCACACTGTCGAGTTATATAACGCTCTGTCATATGTTTTTTTCTAATATTAAGTATATAATTTTTTTTGTTACATTGTTCGTACGGCGCGCACACGGTACTAATTCAGAATAAAATTTACATATTTATAGTTTTAAAGAAAACACTCTTTGTATTGTGTTATCGAAATAATAATAAAATACAAGCGGGAGGAATCCAAAATAGCGGCGGATGTAATTGAAAGCAGGGAACATTATCGCAGAACCTATGTGAAAGAACCTACGCTTGACGAAATGCATCTCGGAAGGTCTGCATGTAGGGACGGCGGAGGCGTCGCATTGTTCCTCGTAGAGGGGTGTAGGATTATATAGGGGGGCTCGTCTCGTTTAGGGGTTCTCGTACAGCTTGGTACAGATACGTCATGATCGATAGTCTCGTGTGTTGTCTCTTGAAAGAGTGACGTGTTACAATTCCCGCGTCGCGTTCCGTTTTATTCGACGGAATCCACGATCCCGTCCCTCAAGTTCCGTCGGCTGCCTACGGCAAGCCCGCTTTCGTCGCGTATAAAAGTGATTAATGATAGGAATTAAATATAAACGCGAACTTTTGATACGCGTAATTAAGTAAACTTATGTAATTCAAACGCAAATGTGGAAGAAAAATTTTTTTTAATGGGAGTTTCTTTAAAGAGACATAACACATGTGTTTATTGTCACGCGTGTGTTTGTACAACAGGTCACGTAGAAATTTACATACTCCGTACGTTATTTGACATGAAGAGTTCATATGAGATAAAAGATACAGTACTACAGTAAGCGCTTTGTGTCATACTTCTTTATTCGGTCTGATGAATCCGGGGATGACTACTTGTGCGTTAGGACAACGCGCGTATCTTCTCTCTTTTTCTCATCCGGGAGTTGGCAAAACGGTTCGTCTTCGTTTCGACTCTCGCCCGCACACTCCGAGCATCGCGCAACCCCCCCGTATTTCCTCGGTGCTAAACGCAACTACACAAGGGGCCTCTCTGCCGCGTCTTTGTTTTCCCTTTCTTCCCAGTGTCGTTTCGCAGTCTCGCGCGAGGTGGTCGTTGAACAACGGAAGCAGGAAGAAATCAACCGAGAAGGGCAAAAAGCCGGCCGACAGATGAGAGATCCGCGCCTGGGAGAATCCGTCGAAAATATATTTTTCAAACCTCTCTGCCTATCTAAAAATAACACATTTGCATTCACAGGCTTAATTAGTGCAAAATTCGCGTTACGTTTATTCGCAACATCTGTTTGGAACACGCGATGCGCTCATCAAACGGCGGAGAGATCGAGGAGGAGAGACAAGTTTTATACATATTTGTTTACTTAAAAAAAACTTGCAACTGTTAAAACCGTTCAATTTTTCGCGTTTAATTGCGTGCGATTAAGTAATTTAACTTGATTTGTGAATAATCAGAAAAGTGTAAATTGTCACCGTGCAAAGTGAAACATTAATAGTGTTAAAAGTGTAATTATGAAAATACGAGGTAAAATCGCCACCACCGAAGAACTCGTGATAAAATTCAGCGGGTGCGACAGAGATATTTTTCACAAATGTTATCGTTGAATGACAGAGCCAAATAATTTGCTGCATGAATTTCACAAGTGTTTAAATCTGCTGCAAGTATATCACATCTACTCCCGTCTCTGTGTGTCTGTGTTTCGGCGCAGGTGACCCACTATATATATATATATGTGTGCGTGTGTGTGTGTGCGTGTGATTGAGATCATCGTTCGAGAATAGCGTGTCGATCTCGCACCGCAATCATGCGGCGCGGTGAGACGCGACGCCGAGATTTATCTCCGGAAGTTAGTCACCCCCTGAACAACCCGCGAGTCCCCCGTCGTTCCCCGGCGCAACGACGACGGAGCTCGGAGGACAGCGCGAGGAGGTTTGTGTAGTCCGCGATAGTCGTCATATCGGCGGGAGTATTGTCAGGAACGCGGTGCCCGTCCTGTGAGAGGTTGTGCGCGCGGCGGCGAGAGAAGACAAAGAGAGAAAAAGAGCGACCGGGGGTAGCCAGAGGGAGAGGCAGAGAGATTTTTCCCCACCGCTTGGAAAAACCAACTCCCCCACCAGACCGGGTACCGTGGGGGCAGGTGGCGGTGGCGTGGAAGAGACGCGCGGCGGGCTGCGGGGGCGACGAAAAGAGGGGACGAGGAGGGTTACCCAGGGTGGTCTCGGTGGTGGCTGGGGGCGGCAGCCTCAAAAATACACCGCAACCACACCGCGCGGCTCCACCGCAGAAGCCGCCATCTTCCACCGCCGAACCGAAACGAGACCGCGCGAGTTAAACACCCTATCCTACTTCCTCCGAGTAGAAGCTGCCCTGCCACCCGCCGAAGCAACGGCCAGGTGAAGAATCATCATCGCCTCGACGACAACCGATTCTCACGACCAGAAGAAGAAATATTCGTGGAAAACTCTGTTCGAAATCGTCGTAGCGAAAAAATTTCAAATTGGTGTTCGTGTGCGCGAAATAAAAGATACGTCGAAGATCGTGATCGTCGGCTTCGATCGTCGTCATCATCTGAGGTCACGTCAGTGTTATCATTAATTTTAATTTATTGTTCGGTTTGGTAGCTGATGCGCCTCCCGTGATTGATCAAGATTTCGATCGACGGAGGGAGATACACGTGACAGTGCGCGACTATCGGCGAAACTTCGCGCGACGAGCGCCGCGTTTGAAAACATATGTTTCGAGTTTGAAAAACAATTTTCGATACATAGGCGCTATATATACAAATTTTTAGTGAAAAACAACAGTAAATACGTAAATAAGAAAAAAAGGTGCGCGCGAGCACGATGTCGTAAAGACCGCGGATAGTGTTTTTAGACACGCGCGATAAGGAAGAACAAGCGTACGCGATCTACGAAGCTGCTCCCTCGTCAAGGTGACTCCGAAATTCGTCGAGCGTATCCAAGTGTTTCGAGTAGATCTCGCGAGTGCTTCTTCGTCATCGATAAGAAGAAACCGGGAAACGGAAGACTCGATCAAAGAATTGGGAAATACAAGGGTGGCCACGGGGATTGACGACGATTCCAATAAAACGAATTTTCTTCGCGAGTTAGCAATCGAGACGAGGAAGAATTTGCAAACGCGGACGGCCCTTTGCTCCCGTCCCGTGGCAGGATAATGAAATAAGGATCAAAGAAGCCTTGGGCGACCCGCGAGGGCCGAGAAAGCCGCCGAGAAGAGTCGCGCGTGCCGTTCGAAGAAAAACAAATCCAATTCTCGCTAGTAAGAAGATATCCGGTGTGCGTTCGTAATGCGTTTCCCGTCATCGCCAGGATCAATTCGTGTTTGTAAAATTCTCACGTCGTCATCGTCGAGTGAATTTCACGCATTCGTCAAACGTGAATGTAGAACGTAACAATCGGTCTTATAAATAAGACGTGTGTGATATATACAAGAGATTGTAATTGCTGAATAAAAATTAAAAATTAAAAAAAAAAAAAACAGGATATAAATAAATAAGAGATATATATCATCAACGCAGACGTATCAATCGAAGGACCAAGCATCATATCGGAATTGATCAAAAGAAAGCGATTTTTATCGCCGATCAACTTGTACAGTTATTTCGTTCAGAATTCAGGGAAAAAAACAAGATATAAACAATTGAGCAGCCGAACTTTTCCGGGACACCAGGGAAGGGTGATGTTGTGATTAAAGAAATCAATGACATCGTTCTCATGACGAATCCTTCGCGAGATGTCCGACCCGAGGATCGGCCTCCCGGCCTAGACTATCCTGATCCTAGGTCAGTGCGCGGCGGTCATCAGGCGCATCAAGCGAACCCGGTGAGCCAGATCGGCGGGCCCAGAATACGAAGGACCCGAGCCTCGTCCTCGAGGAGAAGAATGCACCTGGCCAACGAGGTGCCACCTCAAGGTTCGGCCGGCGGAAATCATCTTTCCGATTATGCTCTCACCGCCGATTTGCTTGCCGAGAGGACGCTTGACGGGCTTCTCGCCGAGCATCCTGGAGAACTTGTTCGCACAGGTAAAAATTTTATTCGCGAGTACAAAGCGTATTAATATTGCAAAAATAACTCTTTTCTCTCTAATATTTACCTGTAGTGCTTATAAAAATATAATGACTAGAAACATATTTTTAAAACTTGGAAAAAATGCTGAAAGATATTTACCTATATATTTTTTTACAATTTGTTGCATAATATATATAAAAAGATTTATTTGCTCTATATGTTTTTAAACTTCGAGAAGTGATTTTTAATTGTACAAATACGCGCGCATGTACGCGAAGCAAATAATGCAAAAATAATTGATTATTTGAGTAAAAATAAATTCAATAAAATTTTCGAAAAAAAAAAATATAGTTCTATCAATGTTAATACAAGGTTGTCCACATGTGGTCTGCACGGTATTGCCGTCACATTGGAGGTCGAACAAGACCCTTCCGGTAGCATTCAAAGTGGTAGCTCTTGGCGAAGTTGGAGACGGTACCCTCGTGACCGTCCGGGCCGGAAATGATGAGAATTGTTGTGCGGAATTGCGGAATTCTACCGCGCTAATGAAAAATCAAGTCGCCAAATTCAACGATCTTAGGTTCGTCGGTAGAAGCGGTAGAGGTAAGTTTTAAAAAGCGTATTTTTTTACAATAAAAAAATGCAAACAGTATACATATACATATATATAGATACGTAATATAACTTTTAATTTATAATTTTATTTCTATATAACTTTTTTCGCAATTTTTAAAAATCGTTTTACTCTCTCGATACCTTTTTGTGTATTTGTTTTATCAAAATAACTTCAATTTGCAAAAAACTCAATTTTTCTGCTTGTTCTTGCCTTCTACCAATGCGGCGTCTTAAATCATTCAGACTTCGCTACATTAAGGTGGTGCCCCCGACTGATGGCCTCGTTTTTCCCGCGTCGAATGCCAAGCACAGGCCACCACCACCTGGCCCCCCCCGTTCCTATCTTATTTTTAATTCACGCGACAAATACCGTGACCTGGTATCTCCTCGCGACTGCCACCCCCACGTCACGACGTGGCAGGGGGTTAAAAAGCGTACGCGGAGATTTTTTAATTCCCTGCTCCGCGTATCAATAATTCAACGTTTCTTTCGTTCACGAGAGAGAGAGAGAGAGAGAGAAAGAGCGAGAGCGTGAGCGACATGCGGGACGGTGGCAAGGGAAGAAAAATTTGGGGGACCGAGGTCTCTGAATAATGCTCCCTAATAATCGCAGCCATTACGAACGGTTAATGCAAACGTTCGCTCCTTGAAGAAGAGTCGAAGTAGCGAAGGGAGGTAAGAAGAAGCGGCACGAGAGGACCTAGATTGTAGCGGGAAAGGAGCAAACTTTGCGACGTCCTTTTTTTTTTTCCCTCTTGTATCTCCTTCTTCCACGTGCGGAGTCGAGGTAGGGAATCGGAAGATACGAGTAACGAGGCGTCCTTTAATTCTTTTAATTCGACCGAGTTGCACTGGTCGTCCTTCTCGTTCGTTTTCTTCCTCGTCGCGCTCGTTCTCTCTTCGTCTTTTTTTCCGACAACGTCGAACTTTCGAGAGAGAGCAGTCACGAACGTACCCCCCTACGGTTAACGAGGAGGAGGCGGTCGACTTGTTTATGGCAAATTGGAAAAGGAAATTGCGGGGTTTGTGATATCAAGCGGCGACGGGTTTCAAGCAACTTTTCTCCGTCGGTAGAACGCCCTAAACGCCCGTTCGTTTCTTATTTCTTGTGAATTCTAATGACACTTATCTCAACGGCCATTGCTTTTTTTTTTTTTTTTTTTTTTGTATCTCGAGAACATACGATCATCGAAAGCAATTTTGTTGTCGCATTTTGTTTTGTCGTAACGTCCGCTTATACGAGCGATATCGTTCGGCGAAGTTTTATATAAGATCGGTCGGTCGCGCGTCCACGCATTGATCCTCCTCTTTCACTCGAGAAATAGAAAGATCCAAGATACTCGTCACGGCAACAATAGAGAGACGTGGGAAAACGGTTCCCGGAATTTTTTTTTTTTTTTCAAGCAAAACTCGCGAATGAGGATATCGCGTATATGTAGGAAAATCGTGGAACGGGGGAATCGGCGAAGCGCGCGAGCGAGAGAGAGCGGTCGCGGATGCGAGTGGGATAGAGTGAAGGTAGAGTGGTTGGCTGTAAGCGGCTTTGGTTTCCATGGCAGTAAGCCCTCATTACTGTATTACGGGCAGCCCCTAACTACCACCGGTATGCAACGATTTGCCTCTAGATTTTCCATATATGAGAGTGACGCAAGATCGTTCCGAGGGCGCGTATCGCAATCGCCGGATCGGCGGAGATTTTTCTTTCCGCATTCCGTATGACGCCCGGTGAATTTTTTCGCGTCGAGATAAGCTCGAATCTCGTCTCCATTGTGCGGAGCGTTTCAAACGTACGGGGGGGGGGGGGGGGGTTGAAAAATTATGCGCGTTATGACAGATGTAGTATTTCGGAGAAATATATTTTTAAAAACAGAAAAAAAAATAAAAAAACAGAGTACACGCGCGCGCGCGCGTGCTAACGTGAAGACCAAATAGATGTGTGACGGGGTGAGCGCGTTATTACTTGCGAAGAAAAGAACAAACAGAGATCTCATCGAATAAATCGAAAATTTATTATGTTTGTCGGCGAGAGAGTCGCCCGCGCACATCGCGCGCTGCATAATACCACAGCGAAGTGAGGAGCCGCGGAGTGCATTTTATATACAGATTCCTCACGCGTTCCGCTCGTTTTTTTGCCTCCATTGTTTTGCACGCATCCCACGCGCGCGCTACCGACTTTTTCGGTTGCAAATATTTGTCTCATGCTCGCCCGCGGGCCTTTGTCAGGCCAATTTAATATTGCGAATGCGGAGGAAGAGAATTGATCGTGGTCGAAATGCGTGACGACGTTGATAGGGTAGTAGCCCGGTACCAACGTGAGAGTAAAGACATCGGGAGTTGACCGGTGTTTTTCGGCCAATTGTATTGGGACGAAATTAATCAACAATTTCCGCCAGAGATCTCAGTGAGAGAGAGAGAGAGAAAGGGAGATGGAGAAAAACATATTCAAATTAAATTTCTATTTTGAGTCGCAAACTTTATTACAGAAAATAAAGGGCTTCAATAAAATTAAAGATACAGAAACAAAACAATTTCGAAAATATAGAATATAATCGTTCGCGCATTATACTTTTGCGCGTCTCGCCATTTGACGAAAAATTAATTATTTGCTCAGTTTTTTTCCGGCGGATGCTTGTTTTTCAAGAAACCCTTACTTTTTTCGCGAATAAACATTTGAATGAGGTCGAGTGCGGAGGAAAAAACTTTGAGCGCGCGTCGGACCGACAAGTTTTTTTTTTTCTGACTCGACGACTCACTTGCTCCGACTATCTTTTTAATCGACTATAATCGCCTCCATTTCGGTCTTACGCGCTGACCCAAAAGAGGGACCCTCTTCTAGCGCTGGTGGTGTTACGGCTAGCGAGTGTAACGACTACGCGCGCCACGACGGCCAGAGGGGTTTACGGGGGTGGCGGCGGAATATTATCATACCGGCGCAGGGGCGTATATCACTCGGCCACCCCTTTCGCTCCCGACAGGGATTAGCGTCAACCTCCGACTGCTAGGAGTCACGGGCCGTACGGAGACGCGGCTATATATGCGTGTTTCTCTCTTGCTTTTCTCTTTCTCTCTTTCTCTCTCTCTCATTTCTACGCTGGGTGCTGGAGCGCGAACGAGCGGGGAGAGAGAGCGGCGCGGCGCGGCGAGGCGCGCGACGGGAAGGGGTGGCGACGGGCGTAAAAACGACGGGCATAAATACCGGAGTTACCTGTGTTTTATGACGGTCCGGCCGAGGTATAGGCAGGAAGAGAGCGCGAGAATCCGAGGGAAAGCTCCGACTATCGACAGCCAGATCCTGACCGATGTCCTGGCGCAATGGATCCCCGTCTCGCCCTGAGCCGTTCTCTTTTTCTCTCTCTTTCTCTCTCTTTCCTCCCTTTTCGTGGAAGGAGAACTCGCTTTAGATCGCCGCCGCATGGTAAACGTTGCAACGCACCAGTGGTGGTACGAGAGTTCGTCGCTCTCGCAGATCCGAATCTTCGATATCTTCTTTATGATTCGAAAGAAAAATGTGCGATGCAAATATCGACGCTTCAACGTTTTCAACCACCGACGCGCTACACATGGTCTCTGGAAGTTACGGTTATGTTTTGTAAAAAAAAAATAAAATAAAACAATACATTTTATTTTTACAACTTTTTAAAACGAGATAAAAAAGACAATGTGCAGAAAATCTTGGCGATGTTCAATAAAATATTGTAAAAAAATATTTGTAACAACGCGAGTCATTAGAAAATTTCTTTCTAATGACTGTGATTTGTAAAATGTCATTCGCGAAACTGTCTTAAAGTTTTTTTTTTTTTTTTTTATATTGGATGGGAATGATTTAATAAGTCGTAAAGGTCCGTCATCTTTGAGAAGGGTTGACGTTCGTTTTCATCGACCTTTAAAACTAGCGGCTCTCGTGTTCAGTCAACCGAACAGCTGTTGCAACCTCCTGCATCAGCGATTCTTCGCTTTGAAGCGTGTCGAACCCGTGGGGAGCTAAAATAAAGTTTTCCCTGCTAATCTGCTAAGTCTTCGAATTATAACAAATCGAAGGATATATCTTATATAAACGAACCTTATAAAGGAATCTGCCGAGTAAAAACGCGCGCCCAAATAAAGAAGAAATCTATTTTTTTTTCAAACAAGATATTCGAATTACACGATTCGGTTTTAATTTCGATCGGAATTTCAAAAATTAATTTTAAACGATAATGATTCGGCGAACAATTTCCGGGAAGAGAAGCAACTTCCAACGTTAGAAGATATTAACGTTTTCGCGAACTCGAATGTGCCAGTTAAATCCGCGAGAGCGGTTGGCGGATCTCGCCGGTGACCACCTCGGCGACGTTTTTTGCCAATTAAAAATTAAAAAATCCATCCCTCGGCCAAGTAAGGGATCGCGGAAGGGACTGCGAGGACACGCGGGGGGGTGTGTCGGAGGAGCGCGCCGGCCCTCTCTATGGCGGATGACTGCGCCGAGATTTTCTACCGATTACACGTTATTTTCCGCTCTGGTCTGTAGAGTACGGTGTCCGCGCACGTACGTACATATCCGTTTCTTTCACATATATTAATTCCACGTTTCCCTACTTTATTTTCTCGATATTTTTCGCTCCTCATTCCGTCGCGCCGGCAGCAAAAGGCAGGTTTTTACAAACGCTTCAATGACCACTCCGCCCGGTCGCGCCGTCGCATCTAAAAGTCGTTGTGCTCGACGTTGCGATTATTGTTGGCGAAAACTGGCCCTCGTGGAAATTTATCCCGCGTCAGGATTTTTATCACGGTCATTGCGAAACATTCGCCAAAACGTTCTCACTCAATGATGCTGTTTTCGTTGTTTTTTGTTTTGTTTTGTTTTTTTTTTTTCACAGACTGCGCCAAAAAAATGCAAACGTAGAATTATTAATATCTGGTAATCCCTAACGTTTTTGTTCAAGATGTCGTGTGCGAATATGTGTAGATAAAAAAAAAAAAAAAAAAAAAAAACACGTCTCTTTTCAAACATGTCACGGGCGGTGTACACTCGACCTCGTCTACCATGATTCGGGTAGTCAAAACGTCAGAATCTTAAAACACGACAAACACTCCGAAATAACGATCCGAGCAACCCTCGCACTCGCCTCGCCGGCAAACAGGGGAGTTTTTAACACTGCATGATCCCTAGGTAAACTTAGGGCAAAACGCGAGCGTTTGCCCGTGTGTCTTCGCGCACAATTCTTGTCGCGTAAGTGGACGCGAGCCAACCTTGCCCGAATTAATTTCCCAACCCACGACTCGTTTTTTGGCTTTCTAAATCATCGCGAGATTATCCACGAATGTGTGTGTGTGTGTGTGCGGAGCGTTTTTTTCTGCAAAAAAAACTTGAGCAGAAATTTATTAATGTCGGATTACGGAAATTTACAATCCGACACACATCCCCGATGTGTGTGCTAATAAAAGTTAACTTGTTTTAAAATTCGAATGTTCGAGAAATGATGAAATACAACGGAATATACAATATATCACACGCATCGCGCTGATGAGAAAAAGAGAAAAATTCTCAAACAGAATCTTTCGAAAAAAGTTCGAGCGAATGACGAAAAACTCTGCACAGTCGACATCACAATCTTTATGGATCCTCTCAATAGCGTTGAGGCAATATTTTGCTGGATAAACGTGACGTACGACGTACGTGGATTAATAATGTTTATATACACATATGTGTTTGCGAATGCGAAAGATACTATTCCCCGACGTGCGAAACTCGTCGGCATGAAGAAGCGCGTCAAAAAAAAAAAGAATAAAAAAGAGAGTTGTAAACTGTTTTTCCAATCTCATGAATCATGTGTCCACACCGTGGAACGCGTCTCCGTCGTAATAGGATCGTAGGAAAATTTAGTTTTCGAGTACGCGAGAGCTATTTTCGTGCGCGATTGGCCGTGTGAGTCCCCGACCGTGTACAGACGATGAATTAGAATCTCGCTTAGACGTAGGTAAACCGGGAAAGAGAGGAAGGAACGTGGTACACCCCGAAGGGTGGATCGTTCTTCCAGCGAGTTACACATAATGCCTCATAAACACCCTCAAAATGCCTGCCATCACCCCTGATTCACGTTGTCGCCGCTTTCCCGCGCTTGACACCGCGTTGGCAATAAACTTCGGTCTCGTTAGCTCTCTCTCTCTCTCTCCCTCTCTCTCACAGTCACGAAATATCTTCGGCGAAATCTTTCACAGAAAAGTCAGTTCTTTCACGCCGGAAAAATGTCTGATGACATTCCGACATATTACTTTTAAAGAAAAAAACTGTTAAAAAGTTTGAGATTTCGCGACACGTGAAAAAAGTGTTTTAACTTGTTTAGTATTTTTTTTATTAATTGTTATAAATGTACTTTTTCGAGATGTCCAATTATTTAACCGCGTGCGACTTCTTATGAATTAACAAATATTCGGATTTGATACTTTGGAAAAGCACGGCAGTTCGATATAACGAGATGTGGAATAAAAAATTAAACCCCGCCCCCTTCGGTGGCCAATGCGTAAAAAATCAATTTTGACTATTAAGATGGATATCGCGAAACGGCGGGAGGCGAAAATAGCGGCCAATCACTACGCGACGCGAAAGGGAGCGCGCTTGGAAATGGCACGGCTCCCTTGGCGAAGTTAAAGTCCGGTATTTCGCCCAGGCGACAGGCGGTAAGCCGGTTAAATGTCGTGGTTCACCGTAAAAACGCGGTCGTTTACCGGGGGGGGGGAGGTCGGCCCCGCTACATAAAATAAAACTACCACCCGACCACGCGTGTGTACCGTACCCGGCCGCATTTGGCGACGCCATTATAAGCTACGTAACTTTATTGTCGCGAAGCGCGCGAAAAAGCGCGTAAGCATCTTGTTTTTGCCACACGTTGTGTCGCCGCTATTTTCTTCGCTCGGTAACGCGACGCGACATACGGCCTCGCACATTCTCGGCCCCTGCATTTTATCTCGCGTATATACGCGCGCGATTAACCGTGGACCAGAGTTCAACGCGTCGAACGCGTGACGAATTCCGCGCGACGCGCGCGTCATCGATTGAAATATTTGTGCTGAAAACATCGAAATTTAGTAAACGGCCCGGCCAGTTACGAGTCGCGTTTTCATCTGCGCGTTTACCGATATCGTTTCGGGCTATCGGCGGGACTTCGAGAACAAAAAAACACAGTGACGGAATAAAAAAAAAACGGATTGAAAAGTGCATTAAGGGACGAGAAATTTTTAGATTAAAAAATCAGAAGCCGGAGCAGCTCCCCCGGTCCGGGATCCGTAGATGCGCTCAAAACAAAAACACACTCGCAACGCACACAAATTTATATATATATATATATATATAAATTGCAACAAAAACTACTTGATGTAAAAATACAGAATACGCGCCTATTGAGTTATCGAAGTGATAAAAGTAATAACGCCGAGTAACACACTTTACAAACAGCTACAAATTTTCGATATTCCAAATATTTGTTTCGAAAGTGATATTTCAAAATATTATTCGGACAAGTTATCGCGTCCGTTTCAAAATTCCGAGATAAGCGGCGAAGAGGGAGGGGATACAAATATCTCATCTATCGAACTATATACCGAATGTTGTCGACACGTCGAAAGGTCGAAAACGACGACGAAATCGCGCGTGACGGGCCGGCTGCGTATTTCAGAGTAGCAGGGTTGCTGCGCGCGTTTAGCATTAACATATTCCAGCCTATCCGGGAAACAAACATCGACGCGGTGGCGTCACTCGTTCACCCCCTTACTTCCGGCACATTTGTGTTTTGTTTCCAGCGAGCGCACCGCGCGCGCATTGCCGTTTTGCTTGTGCATACAATATACCGTCGAGCGGTGCTAGCCCTCGCGATGGCGGTTGATTAAACCCCCGTCACAAGAAACGTCGATCCGATGTTATAATCGCGATAGCATCATCTAATTTTCCGAAATTAATTAGGTAAACGCGATCATCAGCACGTATGGGAAATTGTTCGCGAAAAAACACATATATATATATATATTTGATTTTATTTCAACATACAAATATATATGTTTGAGTGAAAACACACAAAGCTTGAGCTATAAAACTCATAAATGTGAGTAAGTTCAAATTGGCTGTAGTGTGAGAATCTCTTTTCGCGGTCGACGAATTGGATATGAATAATAGAGTCTTCGCAAACCAAGAAGCGTCGGGATTCATTCGCGCGCCTTTATGGTTTTCGATCTGGCAACGGAGCCAAAACACGCGAGCACGCATATCGTCCCATTGGGGGAATCCCCGCCTCTCTCGTTTTACCGCTGTGCGATAATTCTTCTCCTCCCTCTCCCTCCCACCCATCTCTCTACGTCTCTGTTCTTCATTTTCGTTTCAGGAAAGAGCTTCACCCTGACGATCATGCTGCAAACATCGCCGCCGCAAGTGGCAACCCTGTCGAAGGCAATTAAGGTGACCGTGGACGGTCCCAGAGAGCCGCGTTCCAAGACAAGTGAGTACAACTTTACCTACCGAGGATAATGCGCGGGAGTAACTTTTTATTGTGAAAATTCTATTCGCGTGTCTATAACCGATAGGGAAAAACCGATTAAATGAGTTGAGTTATAAACAGATAAATATCGAGAATGCGAAGCGGGAAAAAATGTCACAACAACACGTTGAACCGTGAGGGACTGACCATAGTCGATGACGATTCATGAATTTATTCCACGTTTGTGCAGGACACCAGGCCTTTCATCCCTTTCACTTCGGACCACGTCCGTTTCCTTTCGGACACCCGCAGGACCCGTTGGGATTCAAGCTGTCGGGTAAGTGAGGCGTTTCTCCCTAATCAAAGACACGCGCGCGCGCGCGGCCTCCTTCGTCTTCATCACGACGAGTTTGCGCGGGCTATCCTGCTTCCGGTGAAAGCTCACCTTCAGAAACCTCTCGGCACGTCTCCCCCGTCGATAGATAACTAAGTTTGCAACCCCGTGCCGTGCCCCCTCCCTCAAGGGGAGAGCAACTGCGGCAACTTCGGCGGGCCGGGGTCGACGTCCTCTTCTCGACGTGCTCGGCTTCGTGGCTGCGAAGGGTGTCAAAATTGAGCGTCGGCAGGCACCGACTCAAAATTGAGTTTTGCCACCGGCCTCTAAGTGGAGAAGACTCTGATTAAGCCCCGGGAGCGAACTCTGCCTTTTCGTTTCGGAGGAAGCCCGCTCTCTCGGTCCCCGCTCTCCCGGAGAAGTCGTGAATAAACTTCGACTCCGTTAACTTTGCCATCGAGCAGCTCCCAGCACAGTAAAATATTCTCGCTTTTCTAACTTTATATAAATGATCAACGTTCGCAAAGAAAAATCGTTCTTTTTTTTTTTTTTTTTTAATTCAACACTTTATTTTTATATTTGTAATATATTGCCGTGACACGGAAACAGTAAAGTATTTGACAAATAAAACACAGCGAAAAATTTCGCTAAATCATGAAACATCTCTCGGAGAGAGTTGTTTTTGAAATGAATAATCAATCAGTCCGCTTTCTTCGGGGCAGTAATGCGCACGCTGCGATATAAACGACGATTTAAACGTTTCACCGTCGCCAGCGTTTTCGAAAAAGTTTTCAGGTATCCGGCCGGTTCGACAGGACAGTCGGGTGGCACGAATTCCATTGAAACTCGTTCGAAGCTCCAAATTTTGATGGGACTAGCCCGGAGCAGTGAGGGTCGGGTACTGATACTGGTGCACCGACAGTGTATTGTTTCGGCATGATAAGCGGCTTAACGGAGCTTCGCTCCCTCCTATCCCCGAGGCGTACTACGGGATGGCAGTCCTGCCGTCGATTTCTCGTTGCTAGTCCCGCCCGATCCCCGCGACCCCGGTACGCTCAATCAAGAATCAGCCACTGCCGCGCCCGGTAGTACGCCGAAGCTTTAACTTTTCTTTCGTTTGCGTTTGTCGTCGTTGCAATTTTGTCTGTAAATTATTCTAACATGATTTTTTGCCAATGACATTCAAATAATCACAGAAGAATGTAGTATTAAACGTGCGTGTGTGTGTGTGCGCGCGCGCGCGCGAGCGCAACACTTTTGCACAAATCTTTTGTAAATCATTATTTTTTTTTTTTAAATAAAAGATGATTTCTTGATATATGTCGACAAGAAAGTGTTCGGAATAAACATTTTGGTTGCGAAAATTCTCTAACAAATATTTTATTATAGCAAAACGGATCTTTTTGTTGTAATGATAAAATATCCGAATTATATCACGTACAGAAAAGGATATATATATATATATATATATATATATATATATATATCGCGAATGATTGGGGCGCACTGTTTTAACACACCGCCGGATAAATTGTATCCTCGACAATTGGGTCACCTACATTGTTTTAGGTAGGGTGCGAATGGCACTCGACGAATATCGATCGGTTTATTTCGAGTGAGATGTGCCCGCGAGTTTTTTTCAACCCTTTCGTTCGGGGGTTCGCCGGTTGGCTCACAGGTTGCGCCTCCGTCCAGTCCGACGGATGGTCGTCGGTCAGTCGAGCACCTTTCAAACTTTCCAAAGCTGGCTAGCCGGCCGTCGAGTATCGCTGACTAGATAAGGGTGTTCAAGAGGTGGTTTATTAGATGTCTACGCGCAGGAGGGTTGATAGAGTAGAAAGGGAAGAACCCGCCACCGGGGTGCGTGAGGCGAGCGTGGTTGGCCGTGCAGGGTTGTTAAGGTGCCCATTGAGGTGTAACCAGGGGGATGTTATTAAATTTCGTTCGGGCCTCGACAGCAGGGACGACGAATTTTATGGGGCTCCCTAAGGGGCTTCGTGAGAGAGCGCCGAAGTCCGACAGACGGGCCAATGTGCTTTTGCTCCCTCCCTCCGATCTTCGATATCCATCGCTCTAATTTTATCTTTCCTGTCAGTAGCAATATATATCGAAATAACACATATTGCTCACTTTTTACGGTGGTATTGCGTGATATATCTTTGTTTGCAATAAATCCTACACTGGTATATATTTTTTTCTTACATATTATTTACATACGCGTTAACATAACACTTTTAGGGATAGTAATCTTTTGCAGAAATTGTATAAAAAATCCGGCAATAATCTAACATTTTTGTTGCAGCGATATTTAAAAGTTTTGACGATACGCGTTCAGGAACGATCTCTGACAAGTTTCAGGGAAAATTAATGTATCCGGTGACAGACACCGCACGGCGGCAGATCGTCGGATCTGAGATTGTCCGCGAACGAAAACACCCTGATCGCGCATCCTCCCGGGAGGCCAAAGCCTGTCGTCTTTGTCAGTCTGGCTGAGGGGATGAAAAATCGCGAGGTGCCAAGATTCGAGTTAACAAGAACAGCTCGCGCAGCCCCAATCTGCCCTCCCTCTTTCCGCTCTCCCGTGTCAATTAACCGCTTACGAGGGAGAGGCTGGGTGGTGGTAGTTGCGAGGTTGGGGAGAGAACCGGAAAAATCGCGACCCCTGTTTCAATAAGGTGGCCTTTACCTCATTTGGGGGAGATTGTTAGGAACGCTCAGTTTAAAACTGTCGCTTTGCTCCTGGATCGTTTTGCAGTAAATTCGCGACTTCTTTTAAAGCGGATCCTCTTACCAAACACGTAATTTATTTATAAAAAGAAGCGAATTAAAAATTTGTTTTTTTTTTCTCTTTTTTTCTTATATATATGTTTGCGTGTGTGTTATGAAAATTTTCTAATTTTTATAAACATATGCTTGTTGTAAGAAGAAAATCAGCATAATGTTTTCGCATAAATTTTCGAATGTTTGATTGGTCTACTCGTGACACGAGTTTTTTATCTCGGTTTTCTTTACAATCGCCGGATTATATTTCTCCTCCGAACTCGAACGCCATCGTACCTGATTTACGATGCGACGCGTTTAAAGAGCTCTTTCACGTATACAGAAAACCGAACGCAACCGGCGACAACCCTTCGGACGTACGGTCCTTAAAGAGAACCTTTTTAAGGGTTGCTCCTGTCCACCGTCCCCGTGTCGAATCACTGCGGATCCTTTAAATTCGCGTCACATTTCACCACCCTGCGTGTCTTGCAAGGGATGTTCCGTCTTTTAATCAGGTCCGGCGACTGGAGGGGCTTTTCTCTGGAAGCGACGGTAACTAATGACGCTCTTCTCTAACCATCGGTCTCTCTTCTCTCGTCTCTCTTCCTATCACTGACACCAAAATCCACCAAAGAAACAGAAATGATAGCAAATTGTGTGCTATTCCTGCAATCGATACATGCTCAACTCAAACTTTTTCACTCAAGTTTCGTATGCAATATCGTGTAGATAAATCAACACATGTGTTATAACCAGAGGCAATATTTGTTATTACACATACACACACACAAACTCTGTTATTAATATTTATAAAATTATATAAATTATATCTCTTGTTGAAGTTTAATTATCAAATAATAAAAGTTTACTTATATCTGTAAAAGACTTTTTTAAACATGTGTGTATATATATATATATATGTTATATACTGTTTTTATAAAATAAATAATTTATAATTTATACGCTCTTTTTCTCCGATGTAGAATCAAATATCGTAATCAATAATAATAACAATATATATGAAAATTTATATTAAAATTTTGTGTATTTACATTTATAATTACTTTAATTATTGAACACGCACACAATAAAACGGTAAGAATGAAAATTTATGCATCGCTGAATATCGACTATTTCTTAAAAGATCCATTATTTTTGCACTCTTTCTCGACTTCAAAGAGAAAATGTCTGCTGCAGCGGGATAAAGATGGAGAAGAAGGGAGAGAGAGATAGCAATTTTCTCGTCCTTTCTCGAAATATCTCCTCGTGGAGCTTAGATCGGTGCCAGAGACCTTTCCAGGGTGGCATTTTAGGGGTTGCTGCGACGCGATAATGAGAACGGGCGCAAAGGGTGGGTGTGCAAAGACATCCAACCGGCAGTAGCTAGAGGATAGAGAACGCGGAGAGAGTGGAAAGAGGAGAGAGCGGCGAATAGGAGAGTAACAGAGAGAAAGCGGAGAGGTTTGAAAGAGGGGGAGAGAGATCGAGCTTCGCAAGGGTTAAAGCCTTAGCAGCAAGAAGGGCGTTTTTAACGCCTGTTTTGCATAGATTTGAATAGATAAGACAGACAGGAAAATACGCGAATTAATTTATTATGTATCTCGGGGTGGCGAGATCAAGGAGGTTTAAAGCGACGAACTTGAAGGGCTTCCCCCTTCATTTGCAGACTATGTGTCAGGCTTCGAATCAACGTCTTTAAGACGCTCTTTAAATTTCATCGCTGTAAACGTGCTCGTGCGTAAAACTTAAGACGCTAAAGATTAGAGGGACTTTATGCTTAAGACTAATTCTCTTGTGCTTAGAGAACCGAACTAGATGTTTAGGTTTATTTTCAAGTCTTATTGAAATATATTGCAAAAACATTTATATATTGCGCACAAAAAAGTTGAACAGTGTAATCAAAATTCGAAATCATGCGTTCGACCCGAACGAGTTCGGTCTGTAATCGACGTGACCAAATTTAATTCACTTGGCGGGCGACGCGGCGGTGAAACGTATATAAAGCTACGCTTAAAAGCTCGTATTACATGTGACGTCACATTACCGCATCTCGGGAGCGGCGCGACCAAAGTACGTAGCACATTTTGAGCACGCTGCTCGATAATACATCATCCCTTAAAGCCCCAGTACCCCGATGGAAGGCACACGTAAAGGCAACTAACCCTAGGGCCGTAACGTTTAAGCTTAACATTTCTCACCCCTTAAAGGGGTAGAGAGCGGCGGCTCCTTGAACCCTTTCAGCTCGTCTCTCTCGTGCTCTCTCTCTCTCTCTCTTTCTCTTTCTCTTCTTCTCTCTTTCTCTCTCTCTCTCTCTCTCTCTTGCTCTCACTCTTTCCCAGATCTCGCTAGGGCCCACCCCTCATTAGTCTTCATTTGTTTTCGGAATTATCGCCCGCCAGCCGAACCCAACCCGGCACGCGAGTTCCGTCGAAAGAGGGTGCATGGTATTTTCGGGGTTTATTAAATTGAAAATATGTTACGAGCGCTTTGAGAAGAATGCATGTCATATCAAACGTTATACGCTTTATGTGAAAACTTAACAACATTATACATGAGATTTACATAAAATTGTTAAACTATTTTAACACAAGTATATAAATATTATTATATTTGTTTATAAATCTCGTATATTTTTATAATGAAATTACAGAAAACTTAGTAAACTTATATATAATCTATTATATCAAATATTCTATCATTGTCCCTTTTATATTATTTCCAATTTGAACTTGATTGTTTAATAACAAAGGGTAAAAGAGAAAGACTCATTGTCGGTTATCGGACGATGTTCGTACGACGCGATCGTCACTTAAGAATCCTGGCTGCCTGAGGAGCTTACCAAAGCGGTTCTTATTCATGCTGCAGCCGACGGAAGCCGTCCGTTGGCCCCCGTAAGCTCGGTGGCAGCGGTGCTTTCGCGCGCCTCTTATCGTTTTCTTAATCCCCCTCATAAAGTAGGAGAGCTACGAGCTCTCACGGCTGGCCCGTTCAGTGTGCCACGCCGGTGTGGTAGGACGCGAGATAGCGGTGTCCTCTCCCTGGCGAGCGCGCGCGGCTTAAAGAGAGCTTAAAAATCACCCCTTCGACCCCTACCGAGCTTTTTACTTCCCCACCGCCCGTCACGACGCGACTGGTGGGAGCGCGCGAGCGGCCAATGGGGTGATCCGCGTGTCTCGGTGGTCACGCCCTCGTGCCAGTGACCGGACAATTCTCCCCGCTACGTCGAGGCAGCTTTCCCCTGCTTACCACCCCGCCGTGACCCCCACCCACATCGCACACGGTGGCTTCGCGGCAGCCTTCACGGAATTTTTAAACTGCCCCGCACAGATGACGGCATAATCTGTTATTGATCAAGGTCTTTCGAAAAACCAATATCACGTCGATGACCACGGGGACTTGCTTCTTGCTTCGTTTTTGCATTACGACACATTGTTTGAACGTTACTTGCGTTACGTACACATGTACATATTGCTTATACATAGATTTATGTTAGAAATAATAAATTAGAAATAATGCATGTTTTCTTTCTTCCTTGCAGTCTATCGAGAATATTGACAAGGTTTATAAATATATATACATATATATGTATATATATTTAGTGACCTTTAAAAACAAATAAAAATTATTTAATTGTTTTTTTCACAAATAAACAAACAACAAAGATATTGATGCAATTTATGTCAGTCGGTTTTGTCCAACCAATCACGCTTGAACGAACTTTTTGATGTCATAAATTTAATTGCATTCACATGCTTGCGCGGTCACGCTATATTGGCTATTATCGAAAAAAAGGTGATCGATCGTCTCTCTGCATTCTCTGTTGGATAAATTTAACTGTCCATCCACGTCAAAACCGCCTCTACGTCAAAGGGATGCGTTTCTACGACTCTAACTGTCAGTCGATCACCGTTTACCTACCGAAAATTATACAACGCCACCGTGATGCCCAGAAATATGTTACGTCTTGTCACAGAACGATCATGTCAGTCATTTTCAGGCACTGTCGTCTACATTGCGTTACTCAATCCTGAAAGGATCCATTCTGTTCAAAAATGTCAATTTTTAACGTATAAAGCTACTAGGATATATCAAAACATTTCAGACAAAGAGCGTTTAACGCAAAACGTAGACGAATAAACATTACAAAAGTTAACAAACAAAGTGTCTTTTTCTACCGTAAATATTTTGGACGATATGGAGGTCACCGCGACGTGATGACAGCGTAGACGCTGAAAATAAACAGAATTCACGAAAAAACGTGTAATCTGCATTTCTTTGATTGCACAGGATTGCAACACCTGGGTCTGGAGCAAGGAGCGGGCCAGGGATGGGGCGGGTTACCTCGAGGATCTTTACCACCGCACTGTCTTCCACCGCCTCCCGGCCACCATCCGCACACACATCCACAGCCAGTTGGTGCGTCGGCTTTCAACCCCTTCCACCACGCCATCGAACAAAGATCCCCAAGGCTGCCTGGACCTAACACCGGTAAAAAGATACGAGATAGCACGTGTAGCAAACAAAATAAAAATTCCGGTTGTAAAAGTTCGAATCGTAAAAGAAAAAATACGTTAAAATTTAAATAATGCCGTGTTTCCTTAGATTACGTGATTAAAACGATTAATAGGTGTGTAAATTGAATGTGTCAAAAAGAATCCACGAGAAGTGATTTGGGTCCGATCAGCGTGTCGGTGCGGGAAGTAACACCGACAACGTCACCCGGAAACCCAGGTCCGGGATTGCTGACGACGGCCTCGGTGACGGCGCCGACGCCTCCTGCCGAGTCGACTACCACTACCACGACGCCCAGTCCGTCTGGACATCACTCACATTTTCAAGGTAAAAAGTTGAGATATATCCAACTTGAAGTTTACGCGATTCAAGTCTTCACAAACGAGGGAAATTAACTCGAGAAAATTGACGATTTGCTTTGTTTGTTAATACAGGTCTTCATTTGCTGGGTGCCACGGGATCTATATTTGGATCAATATTCGCCCCGTTGTTGCCGCAGTCTTCGTGGCTGTACAATCCTCTGTACCATACGCAGCAGTACATTCTTGAACCGGAATGGCATGCTTTGGCCTTGAGAATGGCACAGCAGCGACTGCAGAGGCCAGATCAGACCCGACTCGAAGAACTCAGGAAGCTCAGAAGTAGCAGCGACAGTCCTGAAAGCAGTACGAAAGACGAAGAGAGGAGAGGAGACGATCAAGGCGTGTTGCGTCGATCCGGATTGGACAGTCCCGATGATAGTATCGAAGTGGACGACAGGAACGATCAGGACTTAAACAGAGATCGCGTTAGAAGCGACGAATCTATACCCGAACAGGATTCTCCAAGAATCTCGCCTATCAGAAGCGACTTCGAAGATGCCACGTCCACGGACGCAACCTTTCAGGAAGCGTCGATTCGTCTGCGACAAAGTATTGAAAATTTAAACGACCCGGAACTTCAGATCGAGCAGGATGAGACTGTCAGTCGCGGAGATCTTACTGTGAAAATTCGCTTAGAGGGCACGGTCGATCTTAGCACGAAGAAAAACCAAGATAAAGAGAACGTAGGTCAGGATCTGACGACGCGAAGAAAGGAAGATGGGATAGACGTTGAGAGAGAACCGATCAGATCACGAAGAGAGAGAAGTCCTAAGCCTAGACAAGTGTGGAGACCTTATTAAAGACTGTAATTTTTACAAAAATTCGATTGTCAGGATATAAATAATTTTGTCGTGCGGATTGAACTAAAGTGTAGGTCACTTCTATCGTATGTTCTTTTTTTTTTAGAAAAAGAAGTTTCTTTCGCTGAGAAATCGGCAGACCGGTTGATTTAATCTCGTCTTAATGAATTGAGAACATTCCCAGAGGACGGAGGAGAGCAGAGCTAGCGCGATGATGTAGATTAATTTAGCAATGCTAAGCGATGTATCATCATCGTCAAGCTGTCGAGGGATAACGGAACATGTTGACTGGATGTCGAACGTTCCGCGCGCAATGTAACACGCGGTAATCGTCTGCTTGTGTGTAAATTAATTAACAAATGTTTCTGATGAACATTTTTGCCACAATTATACTTATCCATCTCTTTCTATACCCGTCGCGGGTATATCATCTAAGATCATGGACTCGAGGACTAACCAGGGTTTACGTTTGCATATATATATAGTATGTATATATACGATCCGACTATTATCTAGGTTAATGTTTCAAGTACGCGTTAAGCATTTCCCTCTCGTCGTTCCGAGTAAGAAATTAAATTTCCTGAATGTCTCACTGACCACACGAGTACACGTTACATAAAATATATTTTAATCCTGAACAACAAATTTATTTAGATCAGGATATCACCCGTCTTTCTACGTGAACGTTTATAATTTTGTTGTGATATTGTAATGTCAATGATTTTTCGAAAAAAAAGTATATAATCGAAGAAAAAAAAAGATTCTCGTGTGGTAGATGACAAATTCTCACGATACAAGCGAGATCACGAGTATAGCTTACGTTGTAAATATCACCATCCAACTTCGAATCCTGGGCCGAGTCACATCCTCTCGTCAAGGCGTTGTCTCCTTTTTTTACGAGGCAAACGCCGTTGTCGTTTATTGTCAAGTAAAGAGATATTGATTAGAGAATCGTGGAAATGTGTTTCATTGTATAATTATCGAATCCACGAGCGTCTCGTCTTGACGATGCTGTATATGTACGCGTGACTGCTGGCCTCAATCAAAATCACTCATTGTTTAAGTACATCATCAAATAAAGTAATATCATCCGTTCCATGATATTGATTTATTTTTTTTTTATACGATCAACGTAAATTTTGCCGAGGATACCTCGCGTAAATAAATATGGTAAGTGCAACAGTATTTAGTTATAAATTGTGTATAATATAGTTAAAACTGTGATTTGCATTAATATTGATTATTCTTATCTACTTTTTAAATATTTTTTTTGCAACAATTATTTGTCATATATATAAAATAATTATTGTCAGAATTTATTTTACACACAATCTCACAAATTTTATCTTTCTTATTTTTATTTTCAATATATATTTCTTAAAAGAGCGCATATCACACTTGAAATATTCTTACAGCGTTTCGCGATGAAGTGAACAAATTGCAATCGTGTATCGAGCGACCCGCGTGTGCAACCTAATCCGGTCGGACGAGATGCAGCAGATTCAATAATTCGCCGCGATTGCAATCGAGCGGGATGCACCGCACGCAAAAACGGGCAGGCTCGATATCCGCACGGTGAAAAGGTTCGCGTGATTGATGGAAAACAGACAAAGCACCCGTCAGCCCCGCGCGCTGACCAACGTCCCTGAAATCGAGATAAAAAGACCGCAAAACAATTTTCTACATTATTTTCCGATGCGCGCCGGAGCAAATGAGCAATAATGCCAACACGTCGCGTTCCCATGAATCTCTCTCTGCTCCACATTTTTCAGTGAGTCAATCTATCTGCGTTTCGCGCTCACCACTCTGAGAGAGATGTCTTTACGTTACATTTTTCTCTATTTCACGATTTTTTTTACTTTTTTCAATTCTAAGCAAATATATATATACATATTTATATATACTTATATATATATATATGTATGTAAGTAAATATAAATATATATATATATATATATATATATATATATGTACAGACATGTATATATTTATAAAATAAATCAAAATTAGTTTGCGTAACTCGCATAAATTGTCTAGAAACATCGCAACTTCCGTTATACAAATAAATTTCAACCAACTTTTACTTTCGCACACAGCTAATGAACGTAACGCGCGTCGATGCTTAGTACGTGCGGTCGATGTACCATCCGAGAGCACAAAAAACGACCGAAAAAAAAGGGAAAGCGGTAACGTTCGGCGGCGGCACGGTTTTCCACCCTCTCTGCCGCGTCCTCTTTTTTTTTTCCCCCCCGAAATCCGTATACGTCTATGCTGGTCGGGTTATCGCAACAAACTACCCCAATGACGACACGATTAAAATTTCACGGCGAGCTGCATGGGCTCGACGTGTCTCTCTCTTTCTATTCGTCTCTCTGTTTCTCTTGCAACAAACCGTCTCTATATGATCCCTCTCTGCGTCGTGACTGCCCCCGATCGTCCAGTTGCCGCTCTATCCGGATCCCGTCTCTCGTCCAACAGCTCCGCCAACCCCTCATCCTGGTCGGGTGATTGGTACGCGACCGCAGCCACCCCCGCTTTTTAATACACCCGCACCTGCATAGGCTGCACCCGCAACCGGTGAGCCGCCACCATATATATATATATATATATACATATATATGTGACAGGGTGCATCCAGCCCCTCTATGCGAGCGGTGATCCCCCTCCCCTTTGTCCCCTTTCTAGCCCGGTTTCGGTATGAAACTCGCGATCCTCGTCTCCCTCGCGCCAACGCGTCGCGTCAACGTCACGGTGTACTGAGTGATTCATCGATCGAACGTATTCGCGTCGTCCCTGCGTCCATTCCCCAAAATAACGACAAAGACCTCTCATGGTAACGCGTAGTTCGTATACGGGTTCCGCCAGCAAGTCGCCAGACGTACGAAAATGCATTTCGAAACAACTCGTGAGCGCGCCCCAGCTGATTCTTTCGGTCACAAAACAATAACGAGCTCTTGCGACCTTTCGCAAGTTTCCGTTTCACAGTTACAATTTGTGACGCTATTTAGAAAATAAATCATATCTTCAAAAACACAATCTATCAAATCGACCAGTTTCTCAATCAAGATGTTTTTTTATTATTTATAAACTATATGTATATTATATACATATATATATATATATTCTCTCTTTAAATTTTAACTATACATAAAATTTTATAAGTAATAAACAGTAAACTATATCATACATGATTTGTTTATTTGTTTTATAAATATTACTTGAAAATTGAACACGCACATACACACAGAGAGTACGGAGAGCAAAAAAAATAATGTATTAAAACTAACTACGCTCGTATAGTACAAACACCTGGGAAGAAGAAGAGAGAGAAAGAGAAGAAGAGATAAAAGTAGACTTTCTACCGATAGTGGACACATATCAGTAGAAAAAGAGAAAAAAATACGCAATCGCGCGGATAGAATAAGAAAGGCGATAGAATCGCTTAAGAGAGACGCTCATTTACCCCTTTCTCCCACCTCGGCGGTGGAAATCGGTGGAAGCCGCTGAAGGTGTTGAATCTCGGAGAAAAATATCTCAGCCGTAAATAAATTATAGGAGCCGAAAAAAGTTTCTCCAGCATCCCGCTACGGAGTTCCGGATAGCGCGACGCTCGACTAGGAGAAGGTCGGAGGTGTACTTTAGTACTTTTTGTCCTTCCAAGCTGCCACCGGCCCCGCCTGACCCTCCGCCTTTTCCGTTAGGAGAGAGTGTTCTTTTTTTTTTTTTTTTTTTATTTTTTCGCCACCCTCTCTCGGCAGCCGAGCACTTTAGATAATAAGGCCAGGGCGCTCGGCACGAACGAAAGGGTAAATTGGGTATTCGTCCGAGGAATTATCTCTCTAATTTCTTTAACGTACCAGTCTCTCACCTTCCGTTCCTCTTATGTACGTATAATTTCCATCGCATCGCGCTGCAACCCTCCTCCCGCCGCCACCCTCTGTGGATCGGAACAAGGCTCGAACCCCATCAGCGGATACCGGAGCTCCTCTTCACGTTTCCTGAAGATGAAAGCTACAGCCATCTGGACCAGGAAGATTGGAAGACGACGATCCGACCAGTCTGAACGTAATTATTTCGTCGATTCTTTTGACGTGGTTTGTCCGGTAGTCGATTCGCCGTAATTTTATCATCACCGTCTTTTTTATATTCTGCAATTAATGTGTGACCCCGAACGCGCACTGCATTTAAATTACATAAACTTTTTTCGGATCTGTATTAAAGTTGATTTATTTAAATTCAAGTGTACAGTTATTATTTAGAAGAAGAAAAACTATTTTTATCGCTGATGCGAGAAATATCTATGTTTTTTTTTATCTTGCGGGGAGATGTAACAAAACCATTACAAGTAGCACACGCTAATAATAATAAACGATCGGTGATGCGAGGAGGGATGGTGATGTAATTCGTACAAATGATGGTTCACGACTATCGGCCGGCGAGGGGTAGAAGCTCGTATCCATCGGAATGGCCCTGAAATTAGATCCCACCCTTGGCGCAGGTCCGAGTTCGACAAATTCGGTTAGCCGAATGAAAAATGAAGCGTTACTATCGGTAGCGGTGAGAAATCGGTCTTGTTCAATTTCTTTTCCGATACACACCCGATCATTTTCTTTGTGTATATATATATATATATATAAAGAGAGAAAAAAATAAGTTCAATTGGAAATAAGTTAAATTATTGAGATTTTACGTAAAAATTTTTCTCGAGAGTTTAATTCCGTGAAATTTTGAACTGTATGTTACAATTATGTCAGAGCGCATTTTTCTCATTACGACGATCGGTTTTGTTCGGAAAGCCGACTCGAGGATTGTTTTACAAAGAGAGCGAGAGCGACCCGTCGCGACCTTCCCGCGGATCAGATGTCAACGCAGAAATAACTATAAGAGAAGAGGTTTATTCCTCGCGTAGCCCGAAGCGCTCGTCATATTATGTTTGCTTCTGGTGTTTGCGACTCCCCGTCGTACTTTGGACGATATGATATCTCGGATGAAGGGTGGCTCGACGGTAAGACGGATGTATTCGTCTCTCTCTCTCTCTCTCTCTCTCTCTCTCTCTCTCTTTCTCTTTCTCTTCTTTCTCGAACGTACGAAACATTCAATGACACGCGATAATGTCGCACAATTAGAAACGTGTGTATTACGTTACGTCAGAATTCGAGAAGAGAGTCGCGCGAAAATAAGTAAAATCTCGACACAACGACTTTTTTTTTTTTTATTCCGTGAGAATCGTTAGCAGTTATCTCGAAAAAATTCCGCCGCTCCTTTCGCGGCAAAAATCGAGCTTCACGGCAAACCGTGAACGACCTTAATTCCATTTAGGTGCGCTTTCCTAAATCGACGCAGCAGCAGCATCTTTTCTACTTGGCGTAGACGAACGAATCGAACGAAATGAGTCGATGAAAAGGGGGAAGCGGGAGATGGCAGCATCGCCAAAAGCGTAACTCCGCCAAAGACAATATAAAAGTTAGAAGGGTCTCACGGGATTGGAAGTCGTAAATATCATCTGCTAAATAAAGCTTCATCCTCGAGTACAACTCGGGTGAAAACCCCTTTGCACCGCTCGCCCAGGAGGGGGCGAGTTGAAGACAAAGACTCGTAACGCCGACTGACATTAAGGTATTGAAAGGAAAAAGGGGGTAGGGTAGGGGACGCGCTAAACGATGTCTCTGTTCGATCATTTGCTTTTCCATCAACGATATACATATTTTATTCAAATGTTTTTTTATATTTTCGAAAAAAAAAACAAAAAATGCACACAACTGCGCGCTCGATTTGAATATTTTTTTTTCTCCTCTCAAGAGTTGTACACGTGGTTGTAAAAATGTCAAGATTCTGGTGCATTAGAAACATGAGAATATAAATACTTTCACGGTCGTCGTTTCGATTTCGCGCAAACCATTCCATTATTTTAAACTCAAGGCTTTTCCACGGGAAATCGCAAATGACACGGGACGCAAAATGATGCGTCTAGAATTAAAATCTCCCCCCCCCCCCGTGTCTTTCCGTGCATCCTAGAAATTTATTCTTTCCGCATCGGAGTGTGCCGTCGCGGCTCGCTCGAGGCGTCC